TAGCAATGGCAAAATACACATTATTTATAGGCACAGATGGAACAATCTTCAGGATAAACTCTATGCTAGTCCATAAAGCAAGTCTCAAAAAAATTAAAAGGATTGAAATAATACAAAATACTTTTCATTATTACAGAATTAAATCAGAAATCAATAATAGAAAGATATTTGGGAAATCCCCAAATTTTTGAAAAATAATGACGGACTTCTAAATAACTGATGGTCAAAGAAGAACTCATAAGAGAAATTGCAAAATACTTTAAACTTAATGAAAATAAAGGCACAACATATCCAAATTTATAGGCTGTAGCTAAAACAAAGCTTAGGAGGAAATATTGATGATAAAATGCTTACATAATTAAAGAAGAAATGTCTAAATCAATAATCTTATCTTCTACTTTGACAAGCAAGAGGGAAGAAATCAAACTTAAAGTAGAAAGAAGAAAATAAAAGATCAGAGCAGAAATCAATGGACTAGCAACTGAAAAATAATAAAGAATAGCAATGGAATCAAAAGCTTGTTCTTTGTAAAGATTAATAAAATTGATAAGCATAACTATAGATCCTATAGGAACTAAAAGAATTGTAAGGAAACATGAACGACTTTAAGCCTATAAATTTAACTCTTAGATGAAATGGATAAATTCCTAGAAAGACACAAAGTACCAAAAACTGACTTGAGAAATAATAGAAAATCTGGATAGACCTATGCAAAATAAGGTTATAATTAAATTAATAATTTAAAATGATGGAAGAGGGAGAATGCAGGGAAGGAGAGTTTACTTTATGAAATTCTATAGTATTTGAATCTTTTACGATGAGAACGGAGTTCTGAATTATCTGTGTGATAATAGAAATGTCTGTTTCAGGACTTCCCTGGCAGTCCAGTGGTTGAGACTTCATCTTCCAATGCAGGGGGTACAGGTTCAATCCCTGGTCAGGGAGCTAAGATCCCACATGCCTCGGGGCCAAAAAACCAAAACATAAAAACAGAAGCAATATTGTAACAAATTCAATAAAGACTTTAAAAATGGTCCACATCAAAATTAAAATTTTTTTTTTTAAATGTCTGTTTCTGCCAGTTGTAGTTATTTAGAGTTCAGCTTAACAATTAAACTCATAGGACACATTAGAATTCACCCAGCACCAGTTGTTATTTAGTTTTAAGAAGGCAAACAGGAAATAGCACACACAACAACAAAGCTGTGGTCTTGGACCTCACAGGCATAGCTTGCAATGTGCCTGCCATGCTGTTTATAGAACACACATGGTCATAGAAATGAAAACATGCATCTCTCATAGCTCAGGGAATCATCAGCTCTGGGGACCCTGAAGCTTTTGGTCCTTGTCACGTTGTTCTCTCAGGTGTATGCGATTAGCCCCAAGTCTCTGCAGCTGCATCTCATAAATACCAGTTAATCATCACTCAGTCTCAATGATGAGGTATGTTTTGGTCCTTTAGTCCTTGGCCAGATCCTCTTTTAGTATAGAACTGCTCTATTTCTCTTCCTAAAAATTCTTTCAGTTAATATTACAAGGAAGAATGAACATGGATCAAATCCTCAGACTTTCCTAAGACTAAAACAAAGGTCAAAGAAACAGCTGTTAACCCCCTTTAAAAGTCTGGACAGACATCACTCAAAGATTAATAACAGGTATGTGTTACTATTACAGGTAATTTTTTCTTTCTTAGTTAAACTTTCACCTGTTTCTGTAATGAGTATTAATTAATTAATTCAGAAAAATAAAGGTGTTTTCCAAAATTTATAAACAAAATCAAGTGTTTGCTCAATTGGGAAAATGAATAGTTGGTACAGATGGCAAAAATTCTCACACTTGCCAATGTTGGAGCCACAAAGAATTTCAGTGCCATGTGGCAGCCTTAAAAATTACATTTTAACTTTAATAACTCTAATTAAAAAAAAATACTTCGAGCTTCCAAACAAACTTCAAGACTAAAATAGAGAAAGGAACATGTTTTGAGTATATCCGATTTCTATTTTTGTAGCAGGTTGGGTTCTCGGGAAGGAGACTCTGAGATAGACATTAGTTTGTAGGTTTACTAGGAGTGCAATTGGGATCAGGTGAACCTGTGGAAGACAAGCATGTAAAGCAGGACTGGGCAGAGGGAAGAGTCAAGCTGCAATGCAGTCTCAACAGAAGCTTCAGCAAAGCCCCAGCTCTGAAAATAGGATGACCTTTCAGAGCTGTTCTGAGTGTGGCAGGGCGGGGAGAGGTAAATGAAGGGAAAGAGGAGAGGTGGGGCCCTTGCAGGCCCATGTTGATAAAAACCGCCTTGGGGCTTCCCTGGTGGCGCAGTGGTTGAGAGTCCACCTGCCAATGCGTGGGACGCCGGTTCGTGTCCCGGTCCGGGAGGATCCCACATGCCGCGGAGCGGCTGGGCCCGTGAGCCATGGCCGCTGAGCCTGCGCGTCCGGAGCCTGTGCTCCGCCACGGGAGAGGCCACAACAGTGAGAAGCCCGCGTACCGCAAGAAAAAAGACTGCCTTGAAGGGGGTACGTCCTTGGTAAGTTGACTCTTCACTTGGAGGGATGCCTAAAGGGAGCTGATAGCTTGAGGCCTGTTTCCTTCCGACAACCCTACCAGCAGCTGGGTAATCAGTCCTTTATTGCTGAAGGGGAATCTGGGCAGTACGTTACGATGTTCACCACAATTAGCAAAGGACAAATGAATTATGCTAAAATTGTCTGGTAATACAGTCTGTGTAGCAGACACTATTAGTTGCCTAGGCAAGATCCAGCTTCTCCTTGTGTCTAATTTGTTTGAAGCATGACGTGCCCAAGCCAGGTGAAATAACATGAATGTCTAAACCAATTATGAGAATCCTGTTCTGGGCTTCCCAGAGCCTCCACCTACCCTCCCACCCTCTGCAACAGTTATATGTGTTCAAGGAACCTGATGGTAATAAGATAATGAGACTCAAGGAAATATCTGCTATAGGAATTCTGAAAAATATTTTGTTTCCTTTGTTAAAGAGGAACAGATGAAGCTGATATCCTCTTACCTCTTCCTAATTCCCTCTTCCTTTTCTTGTACACAGCTGTGGTACTTGCAGCTGCAGAAGTTAATCTGCAACTGAGAGGAAAAGAAAGGTCGAGAGAATTTTTAAGAGTTTGTTTTGACTTGTGAGCCACTGAATAGAGCCACAAACCTACCTTTTGGTTTCTTGCTCCTTAAGGAAAATAACCCCTAATTATTTAAGCAGCTAAAATTGAATATTCTGCCACTGACAGAAAGCATATTGCAAACTGACCCTAGTTATAAGATAGGATGATGATTCTATTGAAAATATATAGTGGATAGATGTAATGTGTGTATGCGTGTGTGTTTATCAAATTGTGATATGTTTTCAATAAGATATGTTTTCAATAAGTTTGAAAACAAATACTGTATCATCATTCTGGGATTTCACACTGCATATTAGCATGAATGATATTATTTACATTAAGATGTTCTACCAGAGATAAACCTACTTCAGCAAAGTTATGCTTCTTAAACATATTTGACCAAAAAGTACCTTTTGAAACTTCACCTACTAATATGGAATGGATTGGAAAACATTATTTAGTATGTGTTCTGATCTATGGTTCATTAACTTGTTCCCTATTTCTATGATTATTTTCTGAAGCAGTATTCCTAGGAGCATCCAGCTGAAGTTGAATTAAGTAAAAGCAATAAAATGTGGTCACATTTTTTCTTATGCTTATGACTTGATTACTCAAGCAAGCAAACTAGCTCTGAAAACTTGACATGCTGAACCATGTTTTAGGATGTGGTTAAAGTCCCAAAGAGAAACATGTGTAGCAGCACATTTACAGGTCACAACTAATCTGCAAACTTTGTTTGCTGGTCACAATTAGCATCCTGTGTCTCTACAATTGTTATTTTTATCTGCCTGCAATCAGCCCCCTTTCACTGCTGTGCCGGCTTGCTCATTGATGGTGCAGAAACAGAGACACGAAGTGGAGGCATGAAGCTTCCTACTTCTGGAGAAGGAGTTTGCCCTCTATTTTGAGACAGGAAGTAATGATTGTGGCCACTTTAACAAAAGTCCTGAGTTGAGTTTGCTCATGTAACTTCACACATACATATGTGTATGTATATCTCATGATCTACAGAAGGGCTTTGGTACACTCCCTCCAAAGCCATTCTAGTGTGAATGACTGGATACTGGCCTTGCTTCTCTCTTTGACCTGCTTCAGAAATGGCCCATAGTTATTCAGGCATTCTTCTGAAGGAAGAACTTTCTGAAACTGAACTTTTGATTCCTTCTCCATCTTCCACGTTTTGAGAACAGCACTATCATCACCCAGAAATGTAATTCAACTCAGAAACCTAGAACTCATCCTTGCTGTCTTGACATGTCTCTCACTCTCACATCCAATCCATTTTCATGTCCTGATTTGACTATTAATTAATGCACACCATCTCTTTGCTGCCCCCTGGAGGCCAGTCACCTCCATCTCTTGCCCAGACTACTGCAAAGCACCTCCCTACTTCTACACTGATGGCTTTTATGACCTATTCCCTACACAGCATCTAGAATAATATTTTAAAAACTAAATTAGACCAAGTCACTCCCTTGCTTAGTGGGAGCTTTCCATGGCTTTACATTGCACTACGAATAAAATTCCAACTTCTTACTATGCCCTCAGCCCCATGGTCTGGATCCTGCAGTTTTCCAATTTCAACACGTAACACTATTTTGCTCTATAGTCTAGAGCACGGCAAACTATAGCCCATGGGCCAAATCCACCCATAACCTGTTTTTGCAAATAACGTTTTACTGGAACACAGCTACTCTCACATCCACGGCTACTTTTGAGCTGTAAAGCAGAGTTGACTTTTAACAGAGCATATGGGCTGAAAAGCCTAAAATATTTACTGTCAGACCCTTTAGAGAAAAAGTGTGCCAGCTCTTCCTCTAGAGCGTCACTAGCTTCCTTTCCCCCCCTTGATTAAGATAAACTTTTCATTACCTCCAGTCTTTGTATTCATCCTCCCCTCTGCTTGGAGAGGGTAAAATGTTTCTTTACAAAGCTTCTTCCATCTTCTCCTCAATGACTCACCTCAAACTGAAATATTCAGAACAGCCTTCCTTTATAACTCTGACTAAAGTAGGGCACCCATCTCCCCAGGTGCACTCTACACTATCATATCCTGTTTCCTGCATTACACATTAAAAAAGAAATTATTTTGCTTGTTTTGGTTTATGGTCTACTTTGCTCCCCAAGGCTCTAAGCTCCAGGAAGTCAGGTCCTGTGTCTGTCTTCCTCAGCATTGTTTCCCCACTACCTAGAAGGTGACTGCACAAGGTAAGTGCTCAGCAAATATCTGTTGATTTTTTAAAAGTAACTACTATAGCTAGCTTTCCTACATGGCATTCAGTCATTTAATTTCACATCTAATATGAATTTCCCACAAAGAATACAGCTTTTCGTCTCCCTTCAAATGCATGAGAGGATAACAACAAACGCTGTGACTGCAGCTCCTAGAGGTCATCTAGTTGCTCTTTGTATTTATTCATGCATTCATTCATTCAACAAATATAGATTGATACCATCTCTGGGACGTGTGGGGCAAGACACGATTGGATAAACTTGTCCGTTGAGCAGAAGCATGACTTTCGTTATCTTAATATGACTAAGAAATTTTAAAAATCAAAGGGACACCTTCTGAGATTTCCCCAATGCACTACCTTACTCATCCAGAACCAGTGCCTCAGAGACTCAGCAAGAATTTTTCTGTTAACCCCAGGACAAGAACAGTCAGCACTGATCTTAAAAGCCCCAGCAGAAACTGCTCTGTAGAACTCAGCACGGTTAGATGAGGCTAAAGCATTCTGTAAGTGGGTGTAAAGTTACTGGTGTTTCTTCCAGTGGTTGTGAGTCTGGTGAGCTATGGAGAGGGGGGAGCAGGTTGGGATGGAGGACTCTTTTGGAGCTCAGTGATATTGGGCTTAGATCTGGCTCTGTGTAGGAGGGCTTTGGACAATGCTGTCACTGGGTATTTGTGGAGTTATCCTAGCTGACAGCTAAGAGTAGGGTGGAGAAAAGTATAATTTTCCTACCTTGCACCTATGACAGTTGTTCCATCTACTACTGCAAATCATTTAATCGCTTCTCTTCGGCCATGGCCACATCTTGCAGGGTCTTACCTTATTTATCTTTGCAACTCTCAAAGTGTCCAACTCAGAGACTTTCACATAGAATTCTCTTAAATATTTGCTAAATTAAATAGCAAGCACACTTTGAGAGAAGGGATTTTCCCTATGATTTCATCTGCAATGAATGCACCAAAAGCACTTGCAAGGTTTTTTTTTTTTTTTTTTACTTCAGTAAGGTTGGTGTTCTATGCTACTAAACCCACAGTTGGCTAATATAATCAGTTTCTGAATCTTTCTGTCAACTGTACATACAGATAAATGTGCAATGGCAGTGTTAAAAGATATTAGGGCTTTCTGGTGTTATAAGATAAAGCTGCCTGGCAATTGTCATCTTGTTTGGAAATGGCAAATGATGCGTTTCAGAATGATTAGCAAGCTGTGATCTCATTAACCTTCCCTTGAAGTCAGTTTAACTATGAGCTGCAAGATGGATTGATTTCCTGTGGGAAACCCCCACTCTGCTCCTAACCCTCCCCTTCCCACCACTAAGTCTTAACTGGCATCATTTTATCATTTTCAAGGAATCTCTGCAGAGTTACTAAATAATAATAATAAAGTGATTATTTTTAAGCATCTACATTTCTAGACTAAAAGGGGAGAAGAAAGAGCATATAAGTGTTATATATACAGTTGCTATTTGTTTACTCTTATTGAAGTACTTTGCATACATTGGTACAAACCCTTTCAATTTTAGCCTGTTCTCACTATGGAGAGAATTAAGTTTTTCAAAAAGGCTCTTTTGCCTATTTTCATTTTCATACTTGAGAGTCTTCCCTTGCTAAATTATTCCAGTAAATATTCATATATATTTTTCCTGTGTGCCACTATCCTTCTTATATCAGTGAGACTTTGTATTAGAAATATCAAAACAAATTGCTAGCAATCCATGTTTATACAAAAAGCTCAATATTGCCCTGTTGTTAATAAAAGCAAAACTGTTTGGGTGGAAGAGATCACAGCACAGGGATATCACTTTGCTCAGAAATCCAGGTCTTCATGTGATACCGAAAAGCTGCCAGATTAAAGTCCTTAAAACCATCCAGACAAAATAAAAGGCTAATCAATCATTTTGAGAATTGTGGCCAAGGATAAATATTGGAATTTCACAGCTCTTTCAGGAACTTCCATGTATTTGAACAACACTGAATTAATTATGACCGAAAGAAAAATGAAAAAATAATTTTAGTCAGGTAAGGAAATACATTTAATGTTTTATAATAAAAGAATAGTACTATTAGCTCAATGTAAAAGGAACTATCCTGTGGTGGAGAAGAAATCAACACTGTTTCCCCCTACAGGTGAAACACACAAACTCATTGTCCAGCAAAACCCGATGAGGCAGAGATCCAATTTATTTACTGAGTCTCCTGGTATTTTAAAAATCTGGATTTGTAGGAAAGGGTAAATATAGAAGTTGTTTTTAAAGGACTACAAGCTATATTATGCAACTTCTTAAGGCAGAGACTATTTCTTATGCATTTTTGTGATTCTCCATGATGCCTAAACCAGTTACACAAACGTAGGAGGTGCTCAGTGTTTATTTACCAACAGAATGGAATTAGTGCTAAATCAAACTGGTAAACCTAGACAGGCCTAAACTATAGAATGACTTAACCATACTGTACTTAAATATTGTGAAAAACTTCATTTTGTCATGTACTTAAACATTTTTTCTCTCTTCTGAAATTCAAATGCATATAAATGGATAAATTAGTAGCAGTTCTTAATGAACAATAAGCAGATTTTATAGAAGACTAGCTTTTATTTTTATAAATTTATTTATTTATTTATTTATTTTTGGCTGTGTTGCATCTTCATTGCTGTGTGTGGGCTTTCTGTAGTTGTGGCGAGCTGGGGCTACTCTTTATTATGGTGCACGGGCTTCTCATTGCTGTGGCTTCTCTTTGTCACGGAGCACAGGCTCTAGGTGCATGGGCTTCAGTAGTTGTGACACATGGGCTCTGGAGTGCAGGCTCAGTAGTTGTGGCACACGGGCTTAGTTGCTCCACGGCATGTGGGATCTTCCTGGACCAGGGCTCGAACCTGTGTCCCCTGCATTGGCAGGTGGATTCTTAACCACTGAACCACCAGGGAAGTCCCGAAGACTAGTTTTTGAATTATTTATTCTATTAGCCTAACGCATGGTTCCCGTTTATCATTTAGAGTAAGCTAAAGAGATGCTGTGATCTTTAAGATGCACTTTTCAGAGCAGCTTCTTTTTTTAATCCAAAGATATTTTATATTTAACTGTTTTGCTTTGTTTTTCATTCAAATAATTTATTATCCACCTTTTAAATAAATTTTTAATTTTAGAACACTTTTAGATTTACAGATTTATAATAAAGATAGCACAGAGAGTTCCCATATGCCCCACACTCAGTTTCCCCTATTAACAGCACACATTACACTGGGTACATTTATCACAATTAATGATGGTGTATTTTTCTCTATCCTTTGACTTTTAACCTATCAGTGTCTTTATATTTAAAATGATTTCTTGTAAACCACAAATAATTGGGTATTTTTAATCTACCCTGACAGTCTCTGTCTTTTAATTAATGAATTTAAACCATTCAAATGTAGAACGATTATTGATATATTTGGATTAATAACCAGCTTTGGAACTGTTTTCTATTAATTGCCAGAGGCTTCTATTTCTGTCTTCTCTGCTTTGATCTTTTATAAGATTCTAGTTTCTCTCCTCTCCTGGCATGTCAATTATACTTTATAAAAACATATTTACTGTTTGTCCTAGAGTTTGCAATATTTATTTTTAACTAAGTCTACCTTCAATAAGACTATTCCACTTCATGTGTAGTGCAGGAAATTTCTAACAGAATACTCCTCTTCATCCCTTGTGACATTGCTGTCATTCATTCATTTATCTATAATGTTATAATCACCCAATACATCATTACTATTATGACTCTCAATAGTTATTTTTTAGATCAATTAAATTTTTAAAAAAATTTTATTTTACTTACATTTAGTCCTTCTCTAAAATATGTTCTTTCTTTATGTAGATCCAAGTTTCTGACCTATATCATTTTCCTTTCAACTAAAAAAAGTCTTAATATTCCTTGCACAGTAGGTCTGCTGGTGATGAATTCACCCCATTTTAATTTGTCTGAGAAAGGCTTCATTCCTCCTTCACTTTTGAAGGATAATTTCACTACATACAGAATTCCAGGTTGATGATTTTTTTGCTTTCTACATTTTAAATATTTCATTACACTTTCTTCTGGCTTGCCTCTTTTCTGACAACAAGTCTGCTGTAATTCTCAGCCTTGTTTTTCTATAGGTAGGGTTTTTTTGCTTGTTTTTTTCCTCTTGGATTCTTTCAAGATTTTCCCGTTGTCTATGGTTCTATGCAGTTTGACAGTGATCTATCCAGGTGTACTTTTTTGATACATATTATGCTTTGTATTCTCTGGGTTTCCTGGATTTGTGGCTTGGTATTGTCATACTTTTTGAAAGTTCTCAGTGACATTATTTCAAATATTTCTATTATTCTTTTCTCTCTTTCCTCTCCTTCAGGTATTTCAATTACATATATGTTACACTGTAAAATAATTGTCTTAGAGTTCCTTTTTTGTTTGTTTTTTGGTTTGTTTGTTTTACATCTTTATTGGAGTATAATTGCTTTACAGTGGTGTTAGTTTCTGCTTTATAACAAAGTGAATCAGTTATACATATACATATGTTCCCATATCTCTTCCCTCTTGCGTCTCCCTCCCTCCCACCCTCCCTATCCCACCCCTCCAGGCGGTCACAAAGCACTGAGCTGATCTCTCTGTGCTATGCGGCTGCTTCCCACTAGCTATCTACCTTACATTTGGTAGTGTATATATGTCCATGCCTCTCTCTCGCTTTTTCACAGCTTACCCTTCCCCCTCCCCATATCCTCAAGTCCATTCTCTAGTAGGTCTGTGTCTTTTTTCCTGTCTTACCCCTAGGTTCTTCATGACATTTTTTTTCTTAAATTCCATGTATATGTGTTAGCATACAGTATTTGTCTTCCTCTTTCTGACTTACTTCACTCTGTATGACAGACTCTAGGTCTATCCACCTCATTACAAATAGCTCAATTTTGTTTCTTTTTATGGCTGAGTAATATTCCATTGTATATATGTGCCACATCTTCTTTATCCATTCATCCGATGATGGACACTTAGGTTGTTTCCATGTCCAGGCTATTAGAGCTGCAATGAACATTTTGGTACATGACTTTTTTTGAATTATGGTTTTCTCAGGGTATATGCCCAGTAGTGGGATTGCTGGGTTATATAGTAGTTCTATTTGTAGTTTTTTAAGGAACCTCCATACTGTTCTCCATAGTGGCTGTACCAATTCACATTCCCACCAGCAGTGCAAGAGTGTTCCCTTTTCTCCACACCCTCTCCAGCATTTATTGTTTGTAGATTTTTTGATGATGGCCATTCTGACTGGTGTGAGGTGATACCTCATTGTAGTTTTGATTTGCATTTCTCTAATGATTAGTGATGTTGAGCATTCTTTCCTGTGTTTGTTGGCAATCTGTATATCTTCTTTGGAGAAATGTCTATTTAGGTCTTCTGCCCATTTTTGGACTGGGTTGTTTGTTTTTTTAATATTGAGCTGTGTGAGCTGCTTGTAAATTTTGGAGATTAATCCTTTGTCAGTTGCTTCATTTGCAAATATTTTCTACCATTCTGAGGGTTGTCTTTTGGTCTTGTTTATGGTTTCCTTTGCTGTGCAAAAGCTTTTAAGTTTTATTAGTTCCCATTTGTTTATTTTTGGTTTTATTTCCATTTCTCTAGGAGGTGGGTCAAAAAGGATCTTGCTGTGATTTATGTCATAGAGTGTTCTGCCTACGTTTTCCTCTAAGAGTTTGATAGTTTCTGACCTTACATTTAAGTCTTTAATCCATTTTGAGTTTATTTTTGTGTATGGTGTTAGGGAGTGATCTAATCTCATACTTTTACATGTACCTGTCCAGTTTTCCCAGCACCACTTATTGAAGAGGCTGTCCTTTCTCCACTGTACATTCCTGCCTCCTTTATCAAAGATAAGGTGACCATATGTGCATGGGTTTATCTCTGGGCTTTCTATCCTGTTCCATTGATCTATTTTTCTGATTTTGTGCCAGTACCATACTGTCTTGATTACTGTAGCTTTGTAGTATAGTCTGAAGTCAGGGAGCCTGATTCCTCCAGCTCCGTTTTTCATTCTCAAGATTGCTTTGGCTATTCGGGGTCTTTTGTGTTTCCATACAAATTGTGAAATTTTTTGTTCTAGTTCTGTGAAAAATGCCAGTGGTAGTTTGATAGGCATTGCATTGAATCTGTAGATTGCTTTGGGTAGTAGAATCATTTCACAATGTTGATTCTTCCAATTCAAGAATATGGTATATCTCTCCATCTATCTGTGTCATCTTTAATTTCTTTCATCAGTGTCTTATAATTGTCTGCATATAGGTCTTTTATCTCCTTAGGTAGGTTTATTCCTAGATATTTTATTCTTTTTGTTGCAATGGTAAATGAGAGTGTTTTCTCGATTTCACTTTCAGATTTTTCATCATTAATGTATAGGAATGCCAGAGATTTCTGTGCATTAATTGTGTATCCTGCAACTTTACCAAATTCATTGATTAGCTCTAGTAGTTTTCTGGTAGCATCTTTAGGATTCTCTATGTATAGTATCATGTCACCTGCAAACAGTGACAGCTTTACTTCTTCTTTTCTGATTTGGATTCCTTTTATTTCCTTTTCTTCTCTGTTTGCTGTGGCTAAAACTTCCAAAACTATGTTGAATAAGAGTGTTGGGAGTGGGCAGCCTTGTCTTGTTCCTGATCTTAGTGGAAATGCTTTCAGTTTTTCACCGTTGAGGACGATGTTGGCTGTGGGTTTGTCATATATGGCCTTTATTATGTTGAGGAACGTTCCCTCTATGCCTACTTTCTGCAGGGTTTTTATCATAAATGGGTGTTGAATTTTGTCAAAAGCTTTCTCTGCATCTGTTGAGATGATCATATGGTTTTTCTCCTTCAGTTGTTAATATGGTGTATCACGTTGATTGATTTGTGTATATTGAAGAATCCTTGCATTCCTGGAATAAACCCCACTTGATCATGGTGTATGATCCTTTTAGTGTGCTGTTGGATTCTGTTTGCTAATATTTTGTTGAGGATTTTTGCTTCTATGTTCATCAGTGATATTGGCCTGTAGTTTTCTTTCTTTGTGACATCCTTGTCTGGTTTTGGTATCAAGGTGATGGTGCCCTCATAGAATGAGTTTGGGAGTGTTCCTCCTTCTGCTATATTTTGGAAGAGTTTGAGAAGGATAGGTGTTAGCTCTTCTCTAAATGTTTGATAAACTTCGCCTGTGAAGCCATCTGGTCCTGGGCTTTTGTTTGTTGGAAGATTTTAAATCACAGTTTCAATTTCAGTGCTTGTGAATGGTCTGTTCATATTTTCTATTTCTTCCTGATTCAGTCTTGGCAGGTTGTGCATTTCTAAGAATTTGTCCATTTTATTGGCATAGAGTTGCTTGTAGTAATCTCTCATGATCTTTTTTTTTTTTTTTTAAAGAATAAATGGAAGCTTTTATTAGTGAAGCAAGTCAATTTATTATATTTCCAACATGGCCTTCTTCCTCTATAATGAAACAAACTACAATATTTTACAACATAACTTAGTTTTTTTAATATTCCAGAAGGGAAAGATTTCTTTGGGAATTTAGGAAAGCAAATATTTTGGGAAGAATAACTACAAGAAGTTATTTTTTCAACTTTAATACAGTAACAGCTTGCCCACCAGGTATATTACCCAGCACTTTTCCTTTTAATGAATCCATCAAGTATTAGCCAACAAAGAACCTACTTTTAGAAAATGAGGCAGAAAAGGTTTATATTTAAATAGGAAACGAGCAATCTAAATACCAATCACATGTCACTTTAACAAGGCAATTTATTTACATAGTTAGGTATAAATTATTGTTGATTAAGGTCCTAGCAAAAACTCAATTGGTCTATTTCAAGTTCAAACAGCACTGATCTGGCTATGAAGGTAGACATCATAATGGAATTGGGCCTGTTTGAATAAGGGGAAAAAAATCCATTAGTGCACATTTTTTGTTATTAAAAACAAGGATTATTAAGTCAGGGACATCTTGTTTCTGAACCTCTCCATTTTTGTTGGAAGAAGACTGACCATCTCTTTGCTAAGTTCTAGTTCAACTTCTATTTCCTGGGCAGCTTCAGGGTGCTTCTCACAGTAATCAACAATAAATTTGTAATGTTCCAGTGATGTTGCCAAATTTTCTAGCTCTTTCTTGGGATCTGCAGTGATGATTTTGCCATAGAGACGGGCAACTCGAAACTTAGCTAACATGGCAGGGCGAAGAACATCTTCCCCTATATACTCAGGAAATACTTTATTTGGGTCTCTCAGGGAGTCTAAGAAGAGCTGGTAGTACTTCAATGCTGACTTATTAAGACTATTTATTTTTTTCACGATGTGTGAATCAGGATCCCTCAGCTTGTCAGCTATGGCAATCTTCAAATCCATCATATCATAATAAGCATGTGCAACTTCAAACTGAATCTGTCTGTTGACCAACAAATAATACTGTGGATTCAGGTCCACAATTAGGGGCTCTAGCATAGCTATTCTGCGTTTATGCATCTTGCACCTTCTCTCCATGTCAGTTTCAAAGAATGCAAGCACCTTAAACAGAGCACTGTGGTCCTGGACAACTTCAATATGGTCAGTGACATAACCATCAATCTGAAAGAACTCTTTTGCCTCAAAAACATAGTGCTGACCCATTAAGAAAAGCTCTCTGGCTTCTTCAAAATCTGAAGGTCTCAAATAGCTCACTTTCTCTTCCACTGCAGAGATGGCATCACACAGTTCGCCGGTTCCAAACTGTACAGCTTTTTTCCTAACATTTTCTTCCTCATCTAGTTCTTTCTTCCTTAAAGCTCTAAGTTCAGATTGTTTATCAAGATCAAGCTCCCCTATGTTGTCCTGCATGGAAAGTTGGGCATTCTGCATGAGAGTCAAACAGTATTTGATCCAGCATCTTGCTATTTCCCCTTTTCTTTGGTGATAAAGCTCTGGCACATCTCCTTCAGCTTCAGTAGTGTCTTCTGTGGTTCGGATCTTTCCAGTTTGACCAAAAATGACATTAGCAGCTGATAAACAGTGCCTGGCCTCCATAAAGCATTGCTTATTGATGTAAAATTGTGACAAGGTAGCAGCATTAATAGCCCACTCCATAGGATGGTAGGCATTGTGCTCAAGCTGGCGTTTTAGGGTACTATGGCAATAATGGGCAGCCTTCTCAAACATTTCCATGTGCTGGTAGACTTGAGCCAGGTAATATAGGTTATGAGTATAAACCTTCTCAAATCTTTTTGATCTTTCTTGTTCAGCAAGTTTCTCTTCTTCAGGAAGAAAATGCTCCGTAGGATCAAGAGGAGGACTCCCAATCTTTTCCGGCTTCTGCATTCCTCGGCTTGTGGCCCTTTAGTCCATCTTCAAAGCCAGCAAAGGCAAACCGCACCTTCTCACACCACATCACCCTGAACTTTCCTTCTGCCTCTCTCTCATGATCTTTTGTATTTTGTATTTCTGCAGTGTCAGACCCTTCCTATGTCCAATAAAGGAATCTCCAATTTCTCTCTCCCCTTCTCTCTCTCCCCCTCCTTCACCCTGGGTCAGAGATGCATTGCAAGTCACAGCCCCCACCCCCCAACCCCGTTTCTTGCTGCCTCCCTATTTACTTTCCTGGGGCCTTTCCCCTACTAAAATCCTGGTGAGTTTAATCCCATGTTGGCATCTGCAGCTCAGAGGACTCAAAATACCACAAAGTGTTTTACTGTTTTTCAAATATGTAAGGATAACGATAGAATAAACACAGACTCTTAAAGGTATCACTAAATTCCTAAGCAGTTTTTGTTATTATGTATTACTCTTTACATCTCACATGTCTGCACTTCTTTCAACCCTCCTGCTGTCACCCTCCTCAAGACTTCACCATCTTTCCCCAAGGTTACTCATCCTCCTAAGGGTCTGCCTGAAAGTGCCCTTGTTCCCCTCTAAGCCGTTCTCCACGTGGTACCCAGGGAATGCTTCCTAAATGCGGATATTTAGCAAACAGAATCTTGCCTAATTCTTTTCGTGAATGAGCAGGACCTGACAGGCTAAAATCATCATGCAATTCTAGTCTTTCTCCCATGGACTTTCAGACCTGCATTTCTGTGCCGACTTTCTCCATGTCAGGATGAAATCTCAAGCAGATCCTGTACCTTTTGTGAGTACTCTAGAAAGAATCAAATAGGCCCTTTGCTCTGGCATGTAAAATCCAGTTCCATCAAATGGTTTTCTAACCAGTTGAGTTACATCTGAGTGAGTTTTCCCTCCTACCCCAGTTTGGCCTGTACCAGTTTGGAAACTTCTTTGTGGCAGGGGCTGCTTCTTTGCATTTAGTTTTCCACCCCAGGCTAAGTTCTGCTCATCTTCAAGTCACATAAATGTCATTTCCACAGGGGAGATTCCTCTCTTCTTTTTCATCCTAACCCTTAACAAGTTGTGAATATACAGTTATTTCTGTGAATCACTGTGTAATAGTTAATGTGGTTTTTTGGGGGGTTTTTTGTTTGTTTTTTTGTGGTACGCGGGCCTCTCACTGTTGTGGCCTCTCCCGTTGCGGAGCACAGGCTCCAGACGCGCAGGCTCAGCGGCCATGGCTCATGGGTCCAGCCGCTCCACGGCATGTGGGATCCTCCCGGACCGGGGCACGAACCCGTGTCCCCTGCATCGGCAGGCGGACCCTCAACCACTGCGCCACCAGGGAAGCCCCAATAGTTAATGTTTTTATCCCTCACTAGACTATAATATCTATGAAGGCAGAGACTGTGTTTATTTTTTTGGCAGCCCAAATCCTGCATCCTTAATAGCCTCTCAATAAAATATTTGTTTTGATAAATGAATATGAAAAAATTTTCTTACTGGATACTGGAGAGTATGACAACTATCATGGAAGTGTAAGGGATGTTTAAAAGGGGTCCTTTAAAAAAAATTGTTTCAAAACCCTCTTCTGGTTCCCTACAATGGTGACACTAAGGTCAGCATGGGTTTTTATACATTATTTCTCCACCAAGAGCAGGCTCAAGTGTGTGATTTGGAGGAAGGATTTGGGGAGCAAAACTATAGCATGAAACAGAAGCAGCATCAGAAATGTCAGATAGAATTCTGTTTCTCAAGTACTAGTCTTTTGTTTAAATAATGAACTGTTCCTCAGGAGAAAACTCAGAGGAAAGGATAATATGTGTCCCATGTACTCCACCCAATGCTTTGTGAAGAAAATGGAAAACAAGAACCAAGAAATGCAAACCTGAAGCGAGCATTTTCCTTTGGGATAAGTTAAGTGGTGGGAAAGAAAGCTCTGGATGGGATTGTCTTCCCTTATTTGGACTCCAGACCCACAAGGTGCTTCAAGAGGAGATGGAAATCTGGATTTGAATGTGAAATACCCTGGGGTTAAATGTGAACTAGTTTAATTTTTTTCAAAATATTGTGCATGGGCTTCCCTGGTGGCGCAGTGGTTGAGAGTCCGCCTGCCGATGTGGGGTACACGGGTTCGTGCCCCGGTCCGGGAAGATCCCACATGCCGCGGAGCAGCTGGGCCCATGAGCCATGGCCACTGAGCCTGTGCGTCCGGAGCCTGTGCTCCGCAATGGGAGAGGCCACAACAGTGAGAGGCCCGCGTACCGCAAAAAAAAATATTTTAGAATATACTTGTTTATATCTAAAAACATATTGCAGGGGTTTTGATTTTCCTCATGAATATAGATGCAAAAATAAAAGTTAGCGAGTAGCTTGATTATAGACACAGTTACACCTCTGAGGTAGAAGCGGATTTCAAAGGGGATTATGGGAGACAGAGATTATGGGCAATATCCCTTCTTCTCTCCTACTCATAGCTCAATCCCTCTGCCCCAGCAAAGAGGACCTCATGTTTCAGTGTCACGAACTCAGGCAAACTGTCTTTCTGCCCTGCAGGTGAGTAACTATGGGGAAGAATGGCAGGTATGATGCTCCATGCCCTCCCCTGTCTACCTCCTAGCACCTACACCTCCCCCCATCTCACATTTGTATTATCCTGGGGCTGAGTCATAATTCTTGGTTCCCAGAGATCCCTTCCCATTCTCATTTCCTTTAAGGATTCTACTGAGCGATTCTGGGCTTCTGCCTCTTCCCTTCCCACCTTCCTTTCATGGCTGTATATACCAGCCCTTCCTCTCTTCAGTAGTCCTGTTACAGTCAGGCCACTATCACTCCCCCTGTCCTTCATCTCCCTTTCCCTGTTCTCCTGTGTTGGTTGTTAAGGGACAGCACAGAGTTAAATTTATCATGCCCCTAAGAAAATGGAAATGCCCAGGTCCCTCACTTTCACTGGTCTCTTCCATGGCCCTATGTCTAAATTTGTTTTAGTAGTTTTTGTATATTTTTTCCTAAAGAAGACCTTCAAAATTGAATTCATTTTAGACCCCATAAAACCTAGATCTACCTCTGGGGTGCATATGGATGAAAAGTGATTATGAGTGGACCTCCTCCATCTCAAAATCAAAGGGATCTGATGTCTATGTCTCATGTGCTCATGCAGGGTCGGTTGTCACTGGCTGTGCTTGTGGCTACGGCTGTGGCTCCTGGGATGTCGGGGGGGAAACCACATGCCACTATCAGTGCAACCCAGTAGATTGGACCACTGCCTGCTGCCGCCGCCTGACCTGAGAGGGAGGAGAATGAAAACCTACTTGTGACTGTAATGAAACCATGATCCCAAATAGGAAACCTGACTCAAACTGTCCCTTTCATTTGTTCACAACTCTGCTTCTTGGGTAACAAAAACAATTTTCGCATTTTTCTGTGTTTATATTTTTGATATTATCATCCATGGCCTGGGACTCCTCTAGCCAGAAAATGTTTCCCACATCCCAGTTATGCCATCTCAGGAAAGATTAGGAAAAATATGTGCAGAATGGGACAAACTGAGATAGGCACTCCAGCCCCTAGGTCCCTCAGTATTTAACAAAAGGATAATGACTCTATGCCAAACACTTTGCTTGGACTGGAGGTACAGAGAGACGAAGTAACACACATGTCCTTATGAAGCCCACCAACTAGAATGGTGGCCAGACAGACTTTCCAACAAGTAAGCAGGCAAGAGCAGCTTTGAAAGAATCAACTTCTACATATATACAATGGAATATTACTCAGCCATAAAAAAGAATGAAATAATGCCATTTGCAACAACATATATGGACCTAGAGATTATCATACTAAGTGAAGTAAGGCAGACAGAGAAAGACAAATATCTTATGAGATCGCTTGTATGTGGAATCTAAAAAAATGATACAAATGAACATATTTCCAAAACAGAAACAGACACACAGACATAGGAAACAAACTTATGCTTACCAAACAGAAAGCAGGGGCTGGGGGAGGATAAATTAGGAGTTTGGGATTAACATATACACACTATTATATATAAAATAGATAATCAACAAGGACTCACTGTATAGCACAGGGAACTCTACTCAATAATCTGTAATTATGTGTATGGGAAAAGAATCTGAAAAAGAATATATATATATATATATAAATAATTAGAATAAATATAGAATAAAAGAATAAAGTTCTAGATTTTTGGCTTGCATGTGTACTCTTTCCTAGACTTATGTGCCAGAGATCTTTTTGATCAAGGTCCCAATTTGCCCTCGTTTTCTCCCCTGGAACAAAAGAGAAACCCAGCCCTTCCCTGTCATTGAGCCTTACCTTGGTTCATTGCCCTGGGGTATAAACATTTGCAGAATGCCAAGGGGAGGATTCAAAATATTGGTACCAATGTTGAGTGATCCAATGACTGGGTAACAAGTCCTTTATAAGTTGAGAAACTTCCAGTTCATGATGTAATGTTGAAGGAGGGCAAAACCCAGTTATCAACTGGTAGACCATCAAAAATAATTTTAATAATAAATTACAGTGTGATTTTTAACAAATAACTCAAAAGGAAGTAAAACAAATTGAATAACATTACTACAATAAAAGTTTTCCCTTCCTGTCTGCTTAACTATGAGAGGTAGGTATCTCAAAGCTTATAACTATGAAAAGGAAAACTAGGAAAATAATTGGTTCTAAATTTATCTCTTTCTAGGATTATTCATTCATGGGTATTTAAACTACTTGGGAACAAGAGCAGCTCCATCTCTCTCATTTAAGAAATACTTTTCCAAAAGGTACCATTTCTGTTTATTAATTACTTATCAAAATTTGTTATAAGTGCTTTGTTCAGTGGGGTACTATTAATCATTGTAATAACTTAATACTCTTATTTGTGATAACTATAGTGAGTCTTTAAAAATATGAAATAAATCATGTCACTTTCCTGTTCAAAGTACATATTCTAATGACTTCTGATTACATGTAAAATAAAATCCGAAGTATTTATCATGGCCAAG